CCGAGGCCATGAATAGCGGCGCAGGTAGGGCTCGCGCACACCCCCTATTTGGAAATGCAAAATCAAGTGTATATATATGTGATTTTGCGCACAGTATTTCTGCTATAGGGCGGCGAGAAAGCAATTAATGAACATACAGTATGTCATTGAAGCCTAGAGCCCCAGCCCACTGCAAATTCAGTTTATATTGGTTAATTTGACAATAACTCTTGTTTGCATACCTATATAATTTTACATTGTTCATTACATAGTTTTAATTGATACACTGTTTATATAAATACTGACAAATGGATAAAAATGGGCTAGTTTTACACCTTTTAGTATTACTGCAAAATTGTCAATATTACTGCATTTATTTATAAAAAAATATGTTGACTGCAGAGATGCCAAATTTAAATTATTCACTACACATGGCATTTGTATATGGTTAGATAATAAGTATGTAAATTTACTTTTTAAAGTATTATGCTGTTTCTCATACCCAGAACAGAGATTTATCTCACCAACTGCTTTGGATACTGCCCCCCCCCCCCCACATACAGTACATACCTGTGAACTGTTCCACATGAACTTGAAAAAAATAATCATTGTGTACTTCTTTTTAAGGTAACTGCACTAAAAATGATTATTGTCCAAATTTCAGTAAAAACATAAAAGAAATATCACTAGATTATTATAAATTGATAGACATGAATAAATGAATGTTGATTGAATAATTTTCAATAACGAAACATTAGCATGAAATAGTACTAAGTTAATACAGATAGTAGAGTTGCGCCTGCCACTCCTTTGCAACCAGTGGCCACTCTCCTCTTCTGGCCTGACACACTGTCCATTCTGATTGGTTCCCTGGGCAAGCATCCCCGTTTCAAGGCAGCAGTCAACTCCGGTTGCCCTCCCCCGCTCTTCAGTGTTTGCTTTTCTGTGGATTTGTGATAGTTTTATTGCTTCCTGCCTCCCTGTCTGCTCCTCTACCTGACCTGACATTAGATTCCTTGTTGCTGACCCCCTGCTCTGTTTACTGACTAATCTTTCACACTGCTGCCTGACTTGACCTTGAACTGTTTACTGGACTGTGCTTATCTGCCACCTTCCCTGACCTCAGAATCATGTTGGATCCTATGCAAAATCTGAAATAGTAAGTGTAGCGCTAATCTAAATATCACACAACAATAAATATGAAAATAAAATGCTTGTTATGTGATATTTAGATTAGCGATACACTTATTATTTCAGATTTTGCACATACACTGTCAAGAATGGACTTGCCAGTAATGGTGGGACTCACCTGCCTTGTGGGCTGCAGTACCAGGGCTGGCCAGCGGGTGCTCTCAGCAATCAGAGACTCAACCCTGCAGCCAGCCAAACACCTGAAGCTGATTATGCAGGTGTATTTAAGGGATGGCCAGACCTGTAGTCTGGGCCTTGGTGTGTGTTTTTCCTGGGCCCCTGTATCTTGTTACCTGCATCCCTGTTCCTGTTCCTGTTCCTGTCCCTGGCCCTCTCTGACTGATTCGTTGCTAACCCTGCCTGATCCGGACCTCTGCTGACTTCTCGTGTTTGATCCCTGGCTTGTGACCCCGACTATTCTCTGCCTGACCCCCTGTACCTACCTGCCCGTTAGTTGCTGTACCCGGCTCGTGACCTGACTACTCTCTGCCTGCTCCTCCTGTTCCTGCCTGCCCAATTGTTATTGACCCGGCCTGCCTGACGACGCTTGCATTGTATGGATTGTTATCTGTGGGTGGTTTGGTTTGGTTCATTTGCACTGTGTTATGTTTTAGTATTGCACTGCGTTTATGTATTGTTAGTGTTAATAAATTATATTGTTATAACATATCTGAAGCCTGCATTTCCCTGCGTCAGTTCACATACCTCTGGTCACACCCTGGAGCCCTGACATACACCTATTAGGTATAGGTTTTGGTGTTAGCAGCTTACTTTGAGGTCATGATTTATTTAATAGAAGTTCAGGAGGATTTAATATCGTATGTTGGATCCTGTGCAGGCCCATTTATTACTAAAGAACTTTGCAAGCTGATATGCCAAGTTCAGAAATTACCCCTGCACCTGCTCTCCACCTGCCTTGCCTGACCAAATTAAAGTCATTATGCCAGATTGTTTTTTTTCTGGTAAAATTAACCTGCTTTTTTTTTCTCCAGAATAATCTATAGTTGTAAGCTGTTCTTCCAGCTTAGGTCTCACTCTACAGGTTCAGTCCTGTGAGTATGGATAATTATTTCCCTGCTACATGTGATCCCCCAGTCCTAGACTCAGTTTATCTGCATATACTCCTTCACTAACTAATATATTGTAGATGGTTTTTTTCAAAGCCATTGGCCTCTCTTATGATAAGCCTGATTCCTGAAGCAAGGGAGGTGTTCAATGGAACACTACTGTTTGGAGTTCCAATGTTGTGCACCTAACACTGAATGGAGCAACCCAGCTTTGAGGATAGGGATGGCGGATTCTGTTAACGACTTCCTGGTACATTACCCTACTATTGACCTCTAGCTTGGAACCATTCTTCCTAGGGGGTGTGTGCCTACCTTTCCAAAAAGTTATCTAGTGTGGAGTTAAATTACAATATAGAGAACTGCCAACTCTTGACCTCCAAGTGGGCCTTTTGGGGTAAAGGTATAATTGGCTGAAGTGGGCACTTCATCCATTTGTAGTCTACACTGATCACAAGAACCTGGAATACATCAAGTCATCTAAATGCCTTAGTGGTCCCTTGGTGGTCCCTCTTTTTATCCACTATTTTATCCTCACCTAGCACTCAGGAACAAAACATTTTAAGCCAGATGTTTTCTCCCGTTTTGAACCTCAAGGATTATTCAGAACACCACAGCATTCTGCCTCCTGCTCAGGTCTCAGCCGTACTTCCCCCTGATCTGTTGGTTTCTATATCTGAAGCAATGTCTCATGCTCCAAGATACCTACCTGTGGTAAAGTTGTTTGTACCATTGCACTTACCAAGCTCTAGGTCCTTTCAGAAGCTCATTACTCCAAGTTGGCTGGACACCCAGATATCACTGAAATTCTTTCTCTGGTCTCTGGCAGTCTTTGGTAGTCTGCCCTCTGAATGGATGCCCATTCATATGTTAAGGTCTTTTGCCTGTTCCATGTCCTCCCTCCAGTTTACGTCTTCCCTTGCAACTCCTAAGAGTCCATGGACACACCTGGCTCTAAATTTCATTGTAGACCTTCCTCCTGCAAAAGGGCATGTTGTTATCTTGGTTACTGTGGATCGCTTCGGGAAAATAGAGCAGCTATGCCACAATCACTATTTTGGCTAAAAGCAAATGAATGTTTGCCTCTGTGCTCCCCAGTGGTTCAGCATATGAGGGATGTTATTGCTTGCAAGGGGGAAGGGGTTTGTCAGCTGCAATGTTCTCAGCAAGGGCAGAGGTAATGAGTTGGTGACTAGAGTAAGGTGTGGCAGAAGCACACAAAAAATACCACTCCTTCACTGGAAATATGTTATTATAAACAGGAGAATGGGTGGTGGGATTTTAACTGCAGCAAAGTTGTGAGTCAGGCAGCTATTGTGAAAAACACACACACACACACAAATATAAATTAATAATAATAACAAAATAAATATATATATATATATATATATATATATATGAAAAAATCCTTTCCTGGATTCCCCAAGGTCCTAATAATTATGTTCAATGATCTTGATAACATTTGTGTTTACTTTTAACTAGCTTAAAATGCATACAGAAATGAATGCAATGTCATTTGGATTTTTAGCAACCCTTTGAAAAAGTCACCTGCTGTCATAGTAATTTGTACCCTTGCCATCCTGACCTGATCTTATCTTAATGATGTGCTAACAGTTTACACAAGGCACTGTTTTGTCCTGGCTTGCCTAGCAATGTAGTATCAAAATGGGAATAAAGCATTTTAAAAAGTAAATCACATATGTTCATTTTGAGCCTTACTATTCTTCTACAGTAAATTAAATTTACACTTATATGATATAGTTTTAATTGGCAGACTTTGATGATATATTTAGAATTAAATATCTGCATGTGTGAAAATTACGTAAATGTTGAGTTGAGAAACATGACAAGAAAATCTATTTTTTTCTAATTTAAAAAAAACAAAAACATGAAATAAAAAAATATATGTATACACAAACGAAAGCCTTATCTATCTTGGAAAAAAAATATGTATAATGCGTTAGGGAAAGCTACAAATGCTAAACTGTATAATGTGTGAAACAGTGACATCTCCTAAAGAAAAAAATACTCTTGGATTAAAAGGGAAAACATCCAGGAACTCGAATGATTAATCTACTGTATTCCTGAGGACTTAATGTAGCACTAAAACTGTGGATGGTGGTGGGAGGAGGATATTTATGAGGACCACTGCTGCTATTGAGGAATACCAGCAGGAGTGATGTGGCTCTGACATATTCTTTATCCCATAAGCTTTGTTCGACTTCTCTTTAGTTAGAGGATCATGTACTGTTGGTAGCCTACATTTGTACTTTGGTGCTGGTGGCTTTGGAACATGAACTTCAATGAGCTGTGGTGGTGGAATATTGACTCACCTTTGCTTGCATTTTGGATTTAGCACGAGAGTGAACATTTTCTTTCATCATGTGGACTTTATAGTAATTGGACACATTGATGCATATTTATGAAAGAGTATTTTTATCTTTTGATTGATCATCTATTATTACACATGCACATGGTGAGTTTATTATATATATGTATGTATTCATTATTTTCACTTAATTAGCAGGACTCAATATTTTATATACTCAATTTGTCCCGTGCGCCAGAAGCAGTTTTGCTATATCCTCACAATTTCACTAACATTCCATTGGTGGCCTCTCAGGACTTGTTTCCTTGTGTCTTCAAAAACTACATTTTCATTCATTTCTTTCTAAATAAATGAATTTTGATGAATTTAAAGTTGTGAATGTTATTTCATCATCAATGCTGTCAGTATTGTAAACATTTCATAATTTATTTCTTCAGCCCAGCATGTCAGAACTGGAACATGTGAAGTTGTGGCTCTCCACAGATGCTGCAATAAGAACAAAATAGAAGAAAGGTCACAAACAGTAAAGTGCTCATGTTTCCCAGGACAAGTAGCAGGAACAACAAGAGCTACTCCTTCCTGTGTTGATGGTATGTCAGTCAAGTTTATTAAATAGAAAACAAAAAGAGACTGCCCATGGTACACAGCCACAACCCAACAATATCAATAAGTAGAAGGAAAGGGTTGAATTAAAAAATGGAATGAACACCAAAAATAGATGACTTCCTATTAAGTTATATAAATGGGTGATGTCAAATCTCCACTCACAAACTGAAAAAATGTAACCAAGTAGATTAAATTAAAACAAAAGGTAAAAATAGTAAATAGAAATGAGTGGTTGCGGGAGCTGGAATTGAAGCAATTCCTGAACCCACAACTACCTGCAGCCAAAAAGCGCTTCCCTTTAAAAATCCATACAGATGCAATTCATTCTTAAGAGCACCCTCACACATCTAAAAAGGCGGCATGTTTGTGAGTGTGGAAACTGCAGGAAAAAGTACCATATGATTGGTGCATTTAAAATGATGCAGAAATCTTTTTCCTGCATGAAATGCAGGCACAGCAGACCATTCAAATGAATGGGCTACCATGCCCATGCAAATGCGCCCCTCAAGCTTGCAAAAGTGAGAGTCTAGCCTCAGACAAATTCCGAAAATGTAGCTGATGATTAAACATAGACTCTAGCACTGGCTAAATCAAGGCTACCTCTTCAAACTCAGACATGGAGAACCAACATCTATAATAGTTAAAACAAAAGGAGTGAATAATGCTAGGTAGCCATATATTGTAGTGTAGCAACTTATGGTAGTTTAATTGAAAATACCAGTAAAAACAAAACTACAGTATTGCACTCACAAGTATAAGTGTGTCAGGGCATATCTCTCAGTGTCAGTGTCCAGAGTGTAGATGGATGGTTTGATTAGAAGGGCTAGAAGAACCAAACTCCTCTGAATGGACAGCCACCAAAGCAGCAGGGAGCCGCTGGAACAGAAGCCACTGGAGCTGCTGTGATTACTGGAGATGAGTGTTACCCTGCACAACCACAAACGTTTGAGCTCCATGTGATTGCACAGGATGTTGGGTAGGTGTTTCAGAAAACAGCACACTTCCTTTGTCAGCCTGAAGGGATCACAAAAGCTCCACCGACTTCTTTTCCAGTGGCTCCCGGCAGCTTAGAAGCTTTGGTGGCTCTCCATGCAGAGGAGCTTGTTTCATCTAGCCCTTCCATCCAATACATCTTTTTATGCTTTGGTTGCTGACTCTGAGAGATATACCCTCACACACTTACACTTGTGAGTGCAATAGCTTTGTTCTTACTGGTATTTTCATTAAAACTAACTTACTACACAATATAGCTACCTGGTGTCATTCTCCCCTTTTTGTTTTAAATTGGTATTAAACCCAAAACCAAAAATGTATTCAATTTTCAGCTTACCAAACATTAGATGTAGTGGTTGCATCTGTTTTATTTTCTTTGGCCTTCCCCCCCCCTCTGTTTTCAACTGGTGATCTGGCCAGCAACACACCTCCTGTACTAGTGAGACACCACTTTGGAGGAATGAGCACAGGACACAGCAGACAGCAGCATTGTCAGTCTAGGGGGGATTGGAGAGTTGAATATAAATAACAAATTGAATCCAAACTTCAGTTTACATTTTAATCAGTTACAAAAAACATTTGTTTCCTTTAGGGATAAAGGTTTTGCATTTATAAATAAAAGATGATCATTTTAATTACCACTGCCAATGGTAAATGGATGGTTTCATCCATGTAAGCTGATAAATGCTGTTGAAAAGCTTGTGCTTTTGAAAAGCAACAGATTTACTGGCTGGATCACCAGATAATAGAAGAAAGAAAGCCAAAAGAGGAAACTAATACAGTCATTAAATGTAAGCATTGGTGAGCTTCAATATAATAATTATTTTATTTTGGGTTTAAAACTGCTTTACCTATTACAGATGTAAGTTATTAAATAATTTGAGAAGGCTAAATTTCCATATTTTGAAGTTGAAAGCACCTAGCAATTATGTCCCTCAGATCTCCATTGTTAAGACTTGACAGTCCTCAGGTGTGGTAGCCTGCCAGGCAATTTCACAAGTCTCACATTTTGCATATTACAACTATAGAATAGGATATCTAGGAGGAGTGACACACCAAGATAAGTTAGAATACAATCCAAACCGTGATATGGTGATCTCCTCATTAGTGTCCCAAAGTAATATAAAAAATTATACTTGGTTCTGTATTCTCTAAAAGGGGCAGTACTGTGAGGTTGGTAGTGGAACCAACGAACAGTGCTCGGAGGTGAATTGGGGTGGGGACACGGGGGGGGGGGGGTTCGGAAGGGGAGTATTCCTGCACCTCTTCTCTGAGAAAAAAAGCCCTGCTGAGCGGTATCCAATAAGGTTTCTTGTGGATGATACCAGCGGTGTGCAAGCCTCCTTTTCAACTGACATAGAATTGTAGTATGGGGATCTCCTCATTAGTGTCCCAAAGTAATATAAAAGGCCAATATTACTCCACCTATAATTTATTATCACTTTTACTGAGGTTGGCCCTCTGATGTTCATTTACAGGCTAAACATAAAATACAACATTATAGTAAAGCACCGTGAAAAATTGTCTTTAGAGACACACCACTGATATCTACCCAAATGGTTTATGTAACAAGAGAGTGACACCTGTAGACTATTTCTACTTACTGGCGATAAACTTATCCAATAAGCAGTTCAAAGATTCAAACTTGTAATCGAATCTGTAGGGTACAGCCTTTGTGCTAAAAGATATTTAGCTTAGTAAATTAATCTCTAAAAAATTAACCGATTTACCCCATGTAACCACGGCTCATGGAATTGTGGCAGTTTAAAAATTAAGCCTTCACTGCTATGCCCTATAAACAGGTAGATATGTGTGTCTCATTCTGCAGAACTCACTCACCCACAGTTGACCTATTTTAATGGCCATTCAACAGTATGCATTTTGCAATATTTACTCACCTGTAAAAGTATGATGAAACTAATGTATACTTATATCTTACAATAAATATTATATTGTTTGCGATTTTCAGCATCTATTGTGGAATTGAAATGGTGGTGTCAGATGCAACCATGTCTCGAAGGAGAAGAATGTAAAGTTCTACCTGATCAAAAGGGATGGAGTTGTGCCTCAGGTAATAAAGTGAAAACAACAAAGGTAAGTTGTAGGACATATATAGGTGTGTTGATTGAATTAAAGAAGCCTTGCATTATAACAGCTTGTTATAATATGAATTAATAGAATATGGATCCAATTGTTCCAACACTTTTATTTTGTGGTTTCAAAATTGACCATCTAGCTAAACTGACATAAATTTGATTCTTTTTTTCCTCAAAAACTCGATATGCTAAAGCAGGGTGTCAAACACACCCCTTGTGTTTGACACGTGTGCTTAAAGGTTACTGTAGAAAATTTTAAATAGGTTGTGTATCATAATCATATAATCTCTAACAATCACAAATTGCTGGACAACTGATTTTACAGTTCTTCATTAATGCACCTTTAAGTTCATTGTTTTTTTATCCTTTGTTAGGGGGTTATTTCAATGTGCTTAAAATGATGCAAATATAACTGCCTGTACAGCCCTAACATTATTTCCATTCAGGGATATCAGAACTGACTAGGTTTTGAAATAAATATAGCTCCTTTTTATACCCCCATATACTTCCTAAGTAGAGCTGCTATAGTGAGGTCAACGAAGGTAACATTTACAAAATGAAGATTACAATCAATAGAATATCACTTAGCTCTCATTATATGGGCAATAGAATATCACTTAGCTCTCATTATATGGGCATTGTTTGGGAGTCTATACATTAGTAATTTATCAGGGCATAGATTGCAGCAATGCATCATTGGAACTAGTTTCATTATCTATCATAGCTCATTTTTTTATGTTCTTGCTGGTCTTTGCAGACAATTTGTTTTTTGCTTATCTAACTATTCCAGTATTATGCATTGTATTATGATTTCTTAGTTGTTAAGTATTTGGCTATGCAGTGAGGTAATGGCATTCTTTGTTAGAAATGTGCAGTCCAGTTTAATGTGTAAATCTGTATTGATCAATAAGAAGTTGCAACACACTGTGGTGTACATTAATGTATTATATGTTATATATTTGTGAACCTAAATAATTGTTGATCTAAACCATTTTGCAGTCTGTACCCTCCACCTTGAATTGTATTGTGTATTAAAATTGTGCTCAAAAGTTTGCACACCCTGACAGAAATCGTGAAATTTTGGCATTTATATTGAAAATATGACTGATCATGCCAAAAAACTGTCTTTTATTTAGGGATCTGGGGGGAAAGACCTGGCGTCCTACTGTGTAAAATAATTGTGAAGAGAATTCATGGAAAAAGTCGCTTACGAGTGATGGTCCATGCAATCGCCAAGGGTTGGATACGACTGAATGGATAGATAGATAGATAGATAGATAGATAGATAGATAGATTTAGAGATAGTGATCATATGAAGCCATTTATTATCACATAATGGCTGCTTTTTAAATCATAATAACAGAAATCACCCAAATAGCCCTGATCAACAGTTTACATACCTTAGAATGTTGGCCTTGGAACAGACATACAAGGTGACACGCACAGGTTAAAATGGCAATTAAATGGTTAATTTCCTACATCTGTGACTTTTTAAATTGCAATTAGTTCTGTGTACACATAGTAAGTGAGTTTGTTAGCTCTCATGTGGATGCACTGAGCAGTCTAGATACTGAGCGATGGGGAGCAGAAAAGAACTATCAAAAGACCTGCATAACAAAGTAATGGAACTTTATAAAGATGGAAAATGATATAAAAAGATATCCAAAGCCCTGAATATGTCAGTTAGCACTGTTCAATCACTTATTAAGGGAAGGTAGGCCAAGAAAGATTGCAGCCAAAACTGCCAGAAAAATTGTTTGCGATACAAGGGAAAACTCACAGGTAACCTCAGGAGAAATATAGGCTTGAAAAAGACAGTGTTTTTTTTTTCAAGGAGCACAATACAACAATATAGGCTATGAATAAGGTATTTTCTGGACTGCAACGCATTAGAGAGGGTCATGCTATGGAACATTTTACTTTTCACCTTGTTGCCGACATTTGTTCACAAGTATCTAGTGGGAAGCAGATGGAGACTGCTAGTCTGGCATGGTGAAGCACCATACCACAGCCTGGGAGAGAGTAAATTGGGTTGCAGAACCTCACCTGTGTGGACAATACCTGAATAAAAATTAGCTGCATGGTCAAATTGCCAGAAAGAAACCTTTACTGTGCAATTGCGTGGTAAGGCATGTCAAGGTGTTGTCGGGCATATTGTAACTGCAAGTACTGTCGTATTGTGCTCCTTAAAAAAAAAAAAAAAAAAAACACCCCATCTTTTTTTCAGAGCAGCCTGTTTTTCTCCTGAGGCTACCTGTGGGATTTTCTTTCTATTCTGAGCAATTCTTGTGACAGTTGTGGCTGTAATCTTGCTTGGTCTACCTGACCTTGGCTTGGTATCAAGAGATCCCTGAGAGTCGGACAGTTTAAGTTAAGAGTCAGGCAGTTTACAGAATATTTTTTTTTTCATTTAGTGAGGGAACCAAAGTTGTTGGGTTGGCTGATTAGGTAACAAACCCAGATGAAGAAGGTCCACCTATCTGGACTGGAACAATTTCCTGCGAATGTCTGACTAGGGATCACTAAATTTCCTGTGTTGAAAGGCCGCTAATATTTGGTGAGACAGCCTGTGTGGACTTTGTTTTGGAGAGAGGGTTAGGTCCCTGAGAAGCAATTTATTGCTCCAGGCCTGAAGGTGAAGTTTTGCTGACTTCCATTATCCAAACAGGTGTAAGCAAAATGCTGTCTTTTCATTTTCCTTGCATGTGATTGATCATTTTTTTTTTATTGACATTTTACCAAATTAACCAAGCTCTGGGGAAATTTCCCTTGCATTGTGCAACTTCTCATGCAAAGTGAACAGCTTATTTTCCTTTAGTAAATCAACCCCATATTCTTTGTAAATAAATTGCATGTGTGTGTCACTGAAATTTGCTTCTTGCTGTTTAAAGTGCTGTGACCTCTTCATAGCTCCAGACTTTCAGAATGAGTTCTTGGTGCAAATGGATACTTCAATGCTGGGTCTGGGTGCAGTCTTGTCCCAGGTAGTGGGGATGCCAGTGACCACAAATCAGCTCCCCCCCAGTGTCAGAATGTCTGCCGCAGTCCCGCCATAAGTCGCTGATCACCGTCATGAATCGCTGATTGCCACCATAAGTTGCTGATCGCCACTATTATTAGTATAAAAAAAAAAATCCAGTATCTATACAGCCATTTGTAAATGCTATAACTTTCACGTAAACCAATTAATTTACACGTATTGGGATTTTTTTTTTAGCAAAGACAAGTCGCAGAATACATTTTGGCATAAATTTATGATGAAATTTGATTTTTTATTTTTTTTACTGGATATGTTTTTATAGCAAAAAGTCCAAAATATTGTTTTTTTTCCTCAAAATTGTCGGTCTTTTTTTTTAATAGCGCAACTAATAAAAAATGCACAGGCAATCAAATACCACCAAAAGAAAGCCCAGTTTGTGGGGAAAAAGGATGTAAATTTCATTTTGGTGCAGTGTTGCATGACAGCACAATTGTCAGTTAAAATAACACAGTGCCGTAACACAAACTGCTTAGAACAGAAATACTGCTACAGGGCGGCACAGGTGTGCAAAATCACAAATATATATGTGATTCGCGCTCCTGTGGTTTTCATGCCCCTCCCAGATGGCGTCAGATTGCCTGTCAGTACACCAGTAATCACATTTAACCCCTTGATTGCCAGAAAACACGCTCATACACAATAAACCTCCATTGCTAGTATAGTGTCTGAACGGATCAATATCTTTGATCAGATCAGCACTATACCAGCATTCCCATTAGGGATCACATTGGGATCAGCCCCGGCACCTGCCAGCACATGCGTTTACCCCCTACGCTTACCCCCCCTTCTCCCCCAGCAAGTGCAGTGTCAGTAGGTCACTGTCACTTCATACATTGCACACAAAACCGCAGTGTTCGCAGAATCAGGCCTGATCTCTCTTAGCACTTGCCGGTAAATTTTGATGACTCTCATATGCAGCATAGTGCCAGTACTAGTGCCGCACTACCTTTTGGTGAACTGGCAAGCACTAGTGGCCTAGTACATCCTGGCCTTTCACATACCTCTTAGATTGTAAGCTCCAAGGAGCAGGGCCCTCCTAACCCTCTTATATTGAATTGTATCGTTGCTGTATTGTCTCCCGTTATATTGTAAAGCGCTGAGCAAACTGTTGGCGCTGTATAAATCCTGTATAATATTAATAATACCAGCACTGCAGCATGACTTGGTGACGTGGTGAGTACCATAAGTGTAGTACAAGCTGGTGCAGTGGCGAGCACAAGTATTGTCCCGCAGCCACAAAGAATTCGCACACAGGCCCATAGAGCCCCTAGTATCCTTCCGGATGTGCTTGCAAATCCCGATTGGCAGTCCACAAATTCTGCAGCACCCGTACTTCCCCCATTCATGCATTCATTGTGGATCAAAGCATTTTATAGGTACAACAATTTATCGCCGCCAACACAAATTCAAACTTTGCCAGACCATTCGCATGAAAACTCATTCCGGTTTCCGAATTTATATTTTTTTGGGGCCTAACCCTCAACATGGGCATTACTAAAAAAAAAATGAATTGTGGTTGTATATGCCAGTGTTCTCTGCTGCCATGGTCAGGCAAAGATATGAGAGTATAATGTGTTTTATGCATTTCAGCAACAATACACTCTGTCATCCTCGGGGTGACCCTGAATTTGACCAGCTACACAAAATTCAGCCCCTCGTAAATCACCTTAACCAAAAATTTGCAGATGTCTATACTCCCCAGCAAAACATCTGTGTTGATGAGTCCCTCATTAATTTTTCTGGCTGCCTTGCATTCAAAAATTTCTCCCCAACAAGCCTGCCAGATATGGGGTCAAGATATAGAAGACCTGTGAGAGGGCAACAGGCTATACTTATAAGTTTCAGATTTACGAGGGAAAAGATGGAGCCCCCCAGATGCCCAGACTACATGGGGAGTAGTGGCAAGATAGTTTGGGACTTGGTGTCATCCTTTTTCCTTATGG